TTTCCATTTTTTTCCTTTTCCCTTGTCCCCCCCCCCCCCCCCCCCCCCCCCCCGTACCTTCAGGAATATACGTGCATTGGTGCTGGGGTCTGAGAGATACTGATATAATGTGGCTGACAATCATTTCCACTTTTCTCATCTACCGGTATGCAAGTAAATATTTCTCCTTACTTCGATTATAAGCTGTGGCAAGAAGAGTAGGCAATCCAGAAACATGATATACAGTATACAGCAAATGTTAACTTTATATAACATCGTGTTTAAAATTGCCAAAGTGTAATAATGCCAAAGTGTAGTTATACAAACTTTAAGTTTGGCAGTATTTCAATATTTGCTGAGGTCTGACTCAGTGACTGTAGCAATGTTTTGTTTTGATTTTTGATAAAATGAATGGAATTTGGAAATTCACACATAATAAATTGACTGGCGTCTGCAGTAACTATCGCTACTTATATTTGCTGTCAACCAGCAGCGGCAACTGACAAACTTACCCCATGTTTTAAGCTATCATACCCAACACATCAAACTTCAGCAACAAAAACTGTAAACTTTTGTAACCGATCAGCCTCAGCTCAATCTCGGCAGTCTGCCCGGAAGTTAGTCAATTGTAGCAACAGGGCATGCGTTGTTCTACATCTCGCATATTCTCGCATGGTACGTTCGAGGAGGAATTATTGTTGTCTTACAATATTTCGGGATCAAGGAAGCAAAATAACCAGGAACTTGGCGAAGTAATACGTGGTCCAGCTGAATAACAACAACTCCAAAGCTTTATTGTGCTATCAGGTTATCCATGAGTATGGCAGCTGCCTCAGCGGCGCCCCCAGGGGCTCTAGGTAAGAATATAGGGTAGCTAGTCAATATATTTGCCTTTATTATAGCGCCGGAGGCCTTGTTTGCTGGACCCAGATTTCTTGTGGTTTGAGGCCGCTTGGCCAAAATAGGTCTGCTGTTATTTAGGCATCTTTCCAAATGCATAAAAATTATGTGATTTGTTTTTAACAGTATTATTTTGACTGTAAGTCCGTTTGTTGTTCACACTAAAATGTTTTAATGTTGTCATGCCTGATTAATCTGGTACTCCAGTGTTTATTGAGTTGATGCAAACGTGTTGAATGTGGTCAAAGTCTTTGTGTTCTGTGGCAGGTCTTTTGCTTTGTTGTCAGTAGGGACAGAATCCCTGTGAAAATGCAGACATCGATTCTTCATATCACATAAAATTTGCCAAAAGCTTTACCTAAAAATAATTGTTTTGCCTGCCTATTTGAAATGTAGGTAAATCAGGTCATCTTTGTCATGGCTTTAGTGTTTGGCATTATCATTGGTATTTGTTTAAGTTTTGTTGGTCAAAATAATTGTATGTGGAGAGAAACAAGTAAAACTATTGGTCACTGAGTATTTTCTGAATGTTGTCATGGATAAACCATTCCATTTATTAGCTGGTAAATACAATTTTATACTAAAAATGTATGTTCATCGGACCATTCTCTTTATCTGCCATAGGCTTTGTGAACAGATGCATATAGTTCTTCCTTTTTCCTTAATTTAGAAATTCAATTTTGAACACAGTTAATAATTTCATTTCTTTAAAAAGATTTAACAGCCACTTGAAGATGTCTGTTCTGGCTAACTGACCAGAAAATAGATGGTAGATGGGATTTTTTTTTTTTTTTCAATTAGAATTAAGATTTTTTATTATGTGAGTGAAAATAATATAAGTACATTTAATATGACAGAATTTGCAAGCATATTAACATAAATAGAGATGTACCTTAACTATTTCTGAATTTCATGCTCAAAATCTAAATGCTATGTTGCCATCCATATCTAGTTATATTAAGAAAATCCTTTGAAAACTAATTGGCCTCTAATTAACATAATGGGATATTCTCTACACTCAGGTGGTCAGTACATTGAGAGGTCATTACAAGTCAATTATAGGCCTGTATACAATTAGGTTAATTGCACTCAAACAACACAGGGGACAAATGTCTGGTTGTACAAATGCACTGCTCAGATAACTCTGCTTGTTTATTGATATCAATACCGAAATAGAAAAGGGGATCCAAAGAAATTGCATTAAGTTTATTGCATTTTATAATTGTTGTCTAATGCAGTCACCTAAAACATATTAAGTCTTAAGGATGTTACCAAGAAAGCATCTTAAGCAGCCCGTCTGTTCCCTAGTTGTAGGAGCCAGTTTGATTGTTCAATAGAAAGTAAACCTAATATTGCAATACCATTAAAATATTGTCTTTTGAAATTGTATCACTATTTGTTATACCTACAGTTAACCCTCACACATGTTCAGATATTTTCAAGAAGGTTTTTAAAGTTAAGGATAAGAAAGTTTTTTAAAATAGAGAAAGTAAGGGACGCTTCCAAAAAATGTATTCAGCTTCAGCTACAGACATTTGGAGCCTGTTTTCGACTAAATTGCATGTATCACTTCACCTCTGTTGTCTTTATTTATAACTATAATAGTCCTATGAGTGGGTGATAACTCTTCCTTGATGGGATCCTGGTGATAAGTAGGTGTAAATTGTGAAATAGAGATGCCACTGATGTACCAGACCCAGTGATATGATCGGCTACTTTTCTTTTGTTCAAATAAATCTAGGTTTAAATCCTTGACAAGGATTTAAGTTGTAGTCATAAGCATGTACAGAATATGAAAATGTCTTACCCTTTGAAAAACCGACGTCATAACTTATTGATATGATACTTAATTCTTAGTAACTGATACATCAGAAATTGTTTCACGTTTTTGTTTACTAGTATGTAAATGTAAATCTAGCAATTTTGAACATTTGTATACTTATTATAGTTATATTATTGAATGAGTATGCTATCATCATAATATGGGTGGAAGCGTGAGGTCAGGGCAGGTTTCCATGGTGATTTAGGAAAATTGATGGTTTTCTATTGACCAGGTAATAAGATAGGTCATCAGGTTTATTGAATAGGATTCAGATTACTTATTTTGCAAATGGATATCATTTGCAGTTGTAAGTGCTTTCACAAATTAACTGGTACTGTATTTGAGGACTGATGGATTGGTTTGCTAACTATTATATTACTCATATAGGTAATTTGTTGCAAATATGCTCAGATTCTGATCTTGAAAAATATGCACATTCTTATTTTGATATGCTTGGTTTGTAATTGATATTAAATCATTTTGATTAATTTATCTTAAAGACAACCCAAAGATTTTTTAAAGAAATGTTGAAATAAATGAAAAATATAAATCAATGGCTGGATGAAAGCACTATAGAAATGGTAATGATTGCAAAAGATTTTACTTTGATAGCATAAAAATCAATGTAAAGAACATAGAGTCTATAAAGAGGACTACTAAATTGAATGAAATTGTTATTGTACAGATTTGCCCTATTAGAAATTAGAGAGAAAAAACAATTATTTTCAACTATTGATTAATGGAAACTGTAAAGTTGCACCATTAGTAAAATTTATTTTTCCTATTTTCAGATGGAGGCAAAAAGAGGAAGAGGGCATCTGGAGGAGGGTAAGTAAGAGATGTCTTTTTTGGCCACCAGATAGCAGCACTTAACAGTTTGTTGGTATCTTTTCTTAAGCAAAATTTAAGTTATTGTTATCAAATTATGACAAAAATCTAAATCATTAAACAGTGCAATTATTCAGTAGTGTGGTATGGGGATGTATTGTTTGATACAGATTCTGTTATTTTTATTGGTTAGCACAGGGATGGATATGAAATTTTAATATTAACATTTTTTCTTAATAAAACCATCATTAGAAAGTTATAAATGTTGTGAAGTAAGGCTCAAGAACGAAAAGGTATCATTTGCCTTTATCATCAGCTACACATTGGTACATACCAAAGGTTTGATTTATTATTGTGACAGTTAAAGTGATGCTGGATTTTCATATAAGTGCTATTAAATTAAATTAAGTGTTTTCTGCAATCTCTTCAGCTCTGACGATGAAGATAGCCAAGGTTTTTCACGAGACCAAGATACAGTTGACAAGGAAAGATTTGCCAGGTGAAGTGCAATTTTGTGTTATGTGAAATTGTCTAAATATAAGGTTCAACTTGGTATGACTAACAGTGCATTTTTTGCACTGATTGTATTTATATAATTTACTGAAAGGTAAGAGGCTTTTTTTTTTTATTAAAGCATTAATTTGAGAAAAGTGAAAGAGTGTTCAAATATATACGATTATGTAAACAGTTTAACCTAAGGAATATGAAGGTTGCACTGTTGATATTCAAAGAAGGAATTTATTTGTGTATTTGAACTATTTTGTATTCTAGCCAATGCTGTACTTATTCATGAGATGGCATAGCTATCAAACATTAGCACTGACGCTGCACTTGGCGAGGGAGGGCACTGAGGAATTTTTCCTTGTAAAGCTCAGTCTGTCAGTTGTTAAATGGATGGTGAATTAAATCCATGTGGATCCTTTGGAAAATGTTTTGAAGACTTTTAGAAAGTCACATTTGTGGAACATCTATTGCAGCTGCATGTTTTACTGCAGATTTTATTGAATATTTGATAAAAGTTTTGTGTCATTTTCAAAATTTGGATGTGTTTTGACTATATTCTGTTCTGTTCCATTGCATCAATTTCAGTGTATTATTTTATGATTAATTAAATAAACAACAATTGATTTAACTTTGCCATATTGTTAAAAAAAATGAAAAAATCCAAAGATATTATTATATAAATCTAATTCAAAAAAGGAAAAAAAACTGATGACATGGTTGCACTGTTAGTGCCCCCTCCTTGGTCATTATTTTCATATTGTATGCATTTAACCTTCAAGAGTACAGGGAATGCAGTGCCATCCTGTTCATTAATAGATCCCTTTAGGGGCAATCATCAAATATAGTGTATTCAGACTTGCTCTGTGTCCACTGAGTTAATGCTATAGGACTGGTGCTATATGTGGCATTAAGGAACTTACTGTAGGCATTGAAGATATAAGTTATATAGCAGAGGAGGAGTTGGTGATATGGAGGAGGACATGTGCACTGTAAAACCACCAGTATTTCCCTGGGTCAAAGCTAAGGCTGGTACTGGGTAGGACTAATCCCTAACGTGGGATAAATTGAACTGTGTTGTCAAAACAAGAACAAATTGAACATAATATTGAAAAATTGATTACTTTTTAACATGACTTTTTTCACAGTCAGACAAAAAATCTTCTTAAGTATTTGGTGAAAATTTTGTGTGATAAAATGAGACCAGATTTGTGTGCAGACATTTGATGTGATGTTTATGAGAGGTGATGTGGTACAGTCTGGTTATATGCCATTGGTAGATTACTTCATATGAATTTTATGCTAGCTTTTATCATTTTTTTTTTTTCAGGCATGCACCAGCTACAATTTTGATAAGTTTGAATGAAATATACCTTTTCGTTCCTTTATGATCAGATATGTTTAAGAAATAGGATTTGTTCATGTCATACATGCATTCATGATATACCCTTTTATTTTACCTTTTGCATTGACCTGTTTTTTCCCACCAGAGAGAGCCACTGTGAAATTGAGCGACGCCGGCGTAACAAAATGACTGCCTACATGTCGGAACTGTGTGATATGATACCATCATGCAGCTCCCTTGCCCGTAAACCCGATAAACTGACCATCCTGCGAATGGCGGGCTCGTACATGAAAACTTTACGAGGTAATCACGTGGCACCTGTACAGTGGTTCCAGGGCCTGTACTATGGTTGTGTGCATGAGCAGTCTTGCTGGGGCTTCCGAGGATGTATACAGGGCAGGGATCAGTCTGCTTTCATAATTGTCATTTGTTCTACTGTGTATAACTGGTGTGAGGCATGCATGCTATGTATTCTGTAACCCAACTTCCAAGACCATGGCAAACAGTTCAACAGGCAGAAATTGCAATGTCTTAATTATATAAATGGAGAGCATTGTATTTGTTCAATAATACTCATATGTCAGTCATCTTGCTGACGCCTACGCACAGTCACACGATTCTAAATTGGAGCTTCGCGAGTCCAGAAAATTGGGCACACTTGTTGGGCTCAGGGGCATGGTCCTGGTAGTTGAGTCATTTCATTTCAGTTGAAAAGGCCCCCAGGTTCTCAGCCGCCACCTTAACTTGGCCATGTCTCTTTAAGTATACTGAGCATTTTGGGGAACACTGTCAATTTTCTTGTAGGGAAAGCCATTGTGAGATAGAGAGGCGTAGACGTAGCAAGATGGCTACATATGTCAATGAACTGTGTGATATGGTCCCTGCATGTAGCACACTTGCTCGCAAACCAGATAAGCTGACTATCCTCAGGCTTGCTGCAGCACACATGAAAACATTACGAGGTAATGGTGGTTTCTTAAATGCTATCTAATTTTACTTTCACGGCTTATCAGTTTTGCTTTGGAAGAAGACTGTTTAGATGTTCTACTGTCTCTATATGTTTTCTTTTGTAAAATTAATAAAGGCACATTTCTCAGTCTGGGTAGCACTACAAAATAATATTCATGAGAAAATTTTTATTTGCCAGTATTTTAGCTCTGTGTTTGAGCAGATATGTGATTATTATGCATAGAAAAGCATTATTACATGCAATATGTGTTAGAAATTGAACACATTTACCAATTCTCACAGTGGTATGTGAAATTGACTGCACTTTTTAGTTCCTTTATATGAGTGGGTGGGGAGATCGGAAAAACTGCATGCACTTTAAGCAGGGATGGGACTTTTTCTTCATTTGGGGTTTTATTATATTTTCTGTATGAAAGATGATTTTGAAAGTTTGATTTCATGAAAAATGATAAAAAGTGGATAAATTTAAGGGAGGGAAAAACTTTCCTTCTGTTTTAACAATTTTTTGTTCCCATCCCTGAAAAAGCGAATGTCTTTTAAAATATACAATTGCCTTTTTCATTCAGTCAGTAGCTGTGTAATACAATATGCTAAATAGTCTGTGATAAATTGTCTTGCAATTGAACACTTCATCATTTTGAATGATGGATATTTTACACGAAAAAAAATCCTACAAGTTAAAATATGTAGTCCAAGGGATGCCTGTTGAATATAAGTATATACTGTATGTGATTTTCCACTGTATTGTAACTACTTTATTTGATGTACGTGCATGTACAATGTGGCACAGGGTATCAAAATATGATTTTTTCACTGAATATAAGGAAATGATTACTAACAATGAAATGGGTATTCTGGTGATGGTGTTTTCTATGTAGTAGAATTCTCATTTTTAGCTGTGGGCTCTGTCTTTTCTTCTGCTTACTGTGTTTGATATAGGTTGTATTTTTTAGCAGATATGTTCTGTTATTTCATGTAGGTGCTTTAGGATACACAAAAGCACACTTGATATATCAAATGTTGATGATAAGTCACAAATCTTGCATTATAAAACACAAGATACATGTTCTTATTTGTTTGTGAGATGTTGACGCGGTATTGTTTAAGACTTCCACATGAATCTTCATTTCCTGCTTGCTTCAAATAATGATCTCTTACAAAAAAGATGAAACAATTTTCAGTTATTCTGTTTCTCTTATCATCAGTCATTTTTAAATGTTATTGTGATCACTTAGGCAGCAGTGGAGCAGTAACTCAAATGTGAGAGTCACAGTGCTGAGCAGCTTCGATTGCTTCTTGTTACATAAGCTAAATATTTGTATTTAAACCACCAATTTCATAGGCAGCTAATGTTTGTATTTCAAACAATATATATTATTTACACAAGTTGTGAATGATGACTTTTATTATGTACAGACACAGATGTGTCTGTACATATTGCCATCACCTGCGTCTGTCGTCGCCGATGCCGATGGCGATGCCGTCGCCGGTGCCGGCGCCGTGCACTTTCCTTGTAAACATGATAAGTGGAGGGCAGTTTTACTTTNGTTGCTAAATTTCTCAGAAAGGGGGTGTTGTGATTTTGATGATATTGATGCCAGTGATCTCTCCTAGGAACAGGCAACACTAGCAGTGATGGTTCCTACAAGCCGTCCTTCCTCACAGATCAGGAACTAAAGCATCTCATTTTGGAGGTAAGTTATTTCAAATTTTAAAAAGAAATGGTATGGATTGTAGAATATGTTTATTTCTTGACTTAAATTGACAGTGCTGTAATGAAAATCTTCTTAGAAGGACTGTGTGTTTTACTGTATTTTTGCTACGTTGTGGATATTGTCCTTTCAGGCTGCTGATGGTTTCTTGTTCGTAGCTCAGTGTGACACGGGGCGTGTGATCTATGTCTCTGACTCTGTCACACCAGTACTTAACCAGTCTCAGGTTAGTGAACTATACGGTTGACTTGGCCAAGAGGCTCACTTTTCTAATGCCCATAAGGCTGATGTTAAAATAAGATGCATACATCTCTTTAAAAGAATGCTCCCTGGAAACATTTTTGGGCGTAGTTAGTTACTTACACGTGTAAGTATTTCCTATGGTTGTGAATCATCAATTAAGACAGTCCAGCCTGATTTTTTGAAGGTTTGTTCATCAAAAGGACCATTGAATCAAAGCATTATAGGTAAATAAGTAAATGGCTAAAAGATGTTTGTTTAAAAAAAAAGTCTGTGGAAATGTCACCCTATAGTTCAGAATTTCACTAAGATGATCTGATTGGAAATAGGTATCAAATACATAGATAAGATGTTTATTTTTCCCTTGACACAGTCTGACTGGTACACCAGCACCCTCTATGACCTGGTACACCCTGATGACGTGGAGAAGGTGCGTGAACAACTGTCCACCACAGAATCCCAGAACACGGGGCGTATACTGGACTTGAAAACAGGAACAGTGAAGAAAGAAGGGCATCAGTGTAAGGTTTTGTTTGAGTGTTTGTGCAATCTTCACACTATCTTTCACAATTACTGATTCACTGCTTATTGAAATGATTTTTTTTTATAAAAAAAGGGTTCTATTTAGCACAATATTTGCTATCAGAGAGCATTTCAAGGACTTTCCAAGTTAGATGTTCAGTGTTATGCAAGTCAAAAGTATTATATCAATCGTGCAGTCTGGTATTATTTCATAGTATTTTTTTTTAAACCCAGATGCTCAATGATTTTTAATTTGGGAAAGGAAGTGAAATTGCTATTGCTTCCTTCTCAATTTTTCACTTACAATTATTGATTTGACTAGTATTATCCAAAGAGCAAACCCATTATCACATTTTGTTTTATTTTTTTCCAGCCTCCATGAGGTTATGTATGGGATCACGCAGAGGCTTTATATGTCGAATGCGTCTTGGAGCCATTCAAGTGGACACCATGACCACAAGCCACGCCATACGACTGCGCCAGAGGAACTCGCTAGGGCCCTCTGGTGATGGGCACCAGTATGCAGTGGTGCATATCACAGGCTACATCAAGAACTGGCCTCCTGCAGGTAATTTCAGCAGAGGTAATTGATATTACTCTTTGCTGTATACCATATGAAAATGAGTATTACCAAAGTAATTGAGTAATCTAGTTAACAGATAACTGGTTTTTGCACAGTGCAGTGAATTGAGAGGTTTGTTGAAAGTGTGGTCTTCGAATTTTAAGATAAAAATCTCTACTGTTAAATGTATGTTGTATACAACATCCTGGTGTAAAACTTTAATTATATAGTTTATTTACAATATGGATTTTTCTTGTATTCTTATTTATTTTCACCAACCCTCTAATCATTTGAGACAAAAAAAACTTTGTGATACGTTTATTTTATAGGAGTGCAAATAGAAAGAACAGAGACAGATGAGCCCCACAGTGGCAGCCATTGTTGTCTTGTGGCAATTGGTCGACTTCAAGTCACAGGCACGCCAAATTGCAGTGATTTGATTGGCCCTAATGCTACGTCAGAGTTCATATCTAGACATAGTATTGATGGAAAGTTTACATTTGCAGATCAAAGGTACAATTGTATTAGACAAAGTCTTGCCACACATTTACTACTGGCTATTTTTTTTTTTTTTCAAAGGTCAAATTTAAAATGCTGTACTTAAATGAGACTGATGTAGTTTCCTAATTCACTAACTTTCCATTATCCACTAATTGTACAATTTCTGGAAATTTTGAAGATATGGATATTTTGGGTCAAACGCAATCCTGTGAATTGGATAACAGTGAGAGCCTCAAACCTCGAGTTAAACATTAACTGTACAATCAAACTAATTTGAGATAGAAGTTTTGAAAGACCTTTGAAATTGGTGCATTCACATGCACACACATGTACATTTGATTAAAAACAATTTATTTGTAATGTACTTTTGCTCTATTTGTTTCAGAGTGGCCAACTTATTGGGCTACCAGCCTGTTGACCTGTTGGGCAAGTCTGCCTATGATTTCTACCATCCTGAAGACAAGGGCCACATGAAGGACAGTTTTGAACAGGGTACACCATGCTTTTACTTAACAGAGACTTTAATCACATCAAGTCATATAAGACAAGTTATCCATATGTGTAGATATTTGTTCCCTGATGAATGATCTGTATATTATTATTATTGTACCACCAGCGTAAGCGCTGGCGGTACACATGGTTTTAGTCCCGTCCGGTCCGTTCCACCGGCTCCTGCGGCTCCGCCGCCATGTTNAAAAAAAAACGGTATCGAGATATTTCGATATCAATAAATACAATAAACGTTATTTACATTTACATGTTTTAGTCGATTACGTGAGAGATGAAAAATAATTCATATAATAACTGGTAGAGAAATGGTACCAGTTTGGCTTCACTGCACTGGTGCACTAAAGAATATAAGAATATATTTTTATGTCCTGAAGACAACTCGTAACATTTTTACGATCTTTACCTTGATACAGTTTGTTTCATTTAATTCATTCTTAAGCTCGTATGGATTACTGGTGTAAAATCAAAGGAAATTGGTTAGTAGGCCTAAGTCATGATTAGGCATCTTTTGGGGAGGGAATTACATCGAATGTACAGCGGTGAATTTCTTGTGCATTTTTGTCGTGGAATTATGAATATTTAATTCAGAGCATGGTTATGGATTTAGAAGCTTAGATGTTTGTTAACTGTAACATTTTTTCTCAGAGGGATCATTGGAGCTTGTCAAGCTTAAATTTCAAAATACCAATATTTAAGTAAGAATGCAGGCCATTTGAAAACGAAAAAAGGTAACTACATGTAGATAATTAAACACATATAAACGATCCCTTAATAACATGTACATGTATGTGTTATGGGTATGAAAATATGAAGTTCACGCAAAATATGTATCATTCGTATATGTGTTTATTGATGTTGATGATGATGATGATGACAAATAATGCAAATTACAAATTCTTTTCTTTTCTTAAAAACGTCAAATTTCGATAATAGCTTAAGTCAATTGGTAACGCTGCCATTTGTTTATAGCGAAGCCATTCCTCGGCGCATTCCAGAGCCAGTGGCTCATAGTCATAAAGAAACTTGTTAACAAATAATTCCTTTCTCTCAACCATGAATTGAAGATCTCCGACACCGAAAACGCATATCCCCCGTTGCCATTTGCCGTAACATTTGTCTACGCCCTTCCACGCAGCCCATACCGCCAACCAGGGCTTGGAGTCCGGCACACCTGTCAGACAGGAATATCAAAGATTATGGTGTTATGAAAATCATCATTTTACACCAAAAAACTTTAAACAACTGGCGCACCTGTTTAGCAATGAGAAAGCCATACATAATATTACGCTCACTCGTCAAAAATCTACTTGTGTGTTCACAAAAACGTGAGCAATCACATGCTATACACAATTTCGAAAAACACGTAAAATACATTTAGAATAAAGTAGACGAAATATTCCTCGGAATAATTGTGTAAGACGTATTATGACTGTGATATTTATACTTCCTCTAAACGTTTGAATGTTTATTTCAAATTCATCATTAATTTTACATAATTTTTTCGATAATTTCACCGGACATTTTTTCAGAACTCATGGTGCTTAGTCATTTGAACGCGGCATATTTCATTCACGTATTCTCCATCAATAGCAAAACCCATTTTCAAACCACATAGTCAACTTAATTCGCGTACCATCTCCAATAACAGAAAAACTAATTTACAAGTATTTGAGATACTCACCGTCATAACCCCCAGGAGTATTCAAGTGCGGGTTGTACTTCAAGAAGTTTAACGTGGCCCAGTAATATTCATCGGGGCTGTAAGTGTCCCTGGACCATTCTAACAAAGCCTTGGCCGACGGATTAATCAAAATAAACCTCACAAACTGTCTACTGAAAATTCCATATGCACTGCCTCGAATTATTGTGATATTATTTGGCGGCTTGCTCTTCAGAATCCGAGTATTATTATAAATGCGCTTCCCATTCTTTTCTTGTATGTCCCAGTGATATCTGAATCTGTAGGCTATTCCGCTCAAGCGTCGCCCTGTTATCCCTTCAATGTCATTAGCACCGTTGTATAATTTTAAAATCTGGACCATTTCATAATTAGTTTTCAGAGGGAATTCTTGACTAGGCAAGTTAATATAGTATTTCCATTGTTCTGGTCTTTTGTAGGAATCATGCATGCAGTTAATTTCTGCTTTGAGTCTAGAAAAACCAGCATAGATTACGCGCTCTAGTTTAGACGCTATAAAAACGTTATCAAAACACTTGGCAATGTTTCGAATAGCTACATGCACCGAGTCAGATGATTTAGCGTCAACATGTATACAATACGTATTTTGAGGACGGTATATTGCACGTAACAAACGTTCTGTCTGATGCACGTCCTTGTATAGTAGAATACTAAATGCTATAGGAAATTGCTCCTCTTCTTCTAGTGAGTTTAAAACGTACCCACGCGTCCTTTTAAAGGTATCACAATTTGATGTCAATTCTCCAAAGGCGTGATCGGAAATAAATTTTGGTTTGGTCATCTTTACTCGGCTTTTGGCGTAAAGAATTTCTTCTCGATCTCCCTCTAATAATCTGCGGCAGTCGGACCTAAACTGGTGTTGGGTGTGGTTCACTCTATCCGCACTTTTATGAGAATCTTGAATAACAAAGTAGTCAATATCCTCACTTGTGTCAGAGGTGGAACTCTGTTGGAAAATTTGCATTTTTAGAAAAAGGTAAATAGAAAATATCAACACGGTGCAGGTATAGTAGGCGTTCCTCTTGCGTCTCGCCATGGCCTGAAATTGATGAAGTGAGTAAATGTCACGTGCACTTATTCTAGCAAATTTCTTAGAGGCAAAAGAGAATAAAGCTCTGTTCCTGAAATGACTCTTCTTATCCACTCACGTTCTTTTGCCACTCTGTCAAGCTAACGAATGTTATAACTATTTTCAATGAACGATTTTCCACACAATTTTCTCGGTAATACTGCAGACACGGAAGTGCCTGTAACAGTCTATTGGTAAGATAATGATGAAACATGACCACGTAGAGCTCACAGGCACCCAAAGCGAGATTGACTTTAAACCTTGTAAAGCAATTTAAGTTAACACTTATCGTACTTTCTTAACGTACTTTCTTAACCGTTTAAAGAATAAAACGTAATAGACAAGATCCCAATTAAGATATTTTAGTAGAGTAGTTTTAAAAACCACGCTTTATTTGCTCGGTCTTGTAAATTGCGATAAAATAGGAAAATATCTGTAAATGCGTCAAGCACAGATGAAGGTCACAAACTGTTTGCACAAAGCTCATGTTGAACGAACTGGACCCTTCGAAAAAAAGTGGAAGCGTTAAAATAATGATACAACTCAAGTATCGGTATTCACGACAAACCGGTCTTGCTCTAGTGCCATCACAAGTTGGAGCTAGCCTAGTTGCTGGTTGTCAAACTTCCATGGTCAAACTGAGTCTTCATCACCCGACCCAGCAAAGATTCGAAGGCACGGCTATGTGGTTCATGAAATGGTTATTGTGATAAATGTGAAAGCGCATATGTGACCAAATTATTATATAGGCAGCGCGACCTAGCCCTATGGTAGCAGCCCCTCCCTTGCCCTACCCTCCAATTGATCCAATGACCAACGAACTCTACTGACCAGATGTTCCTATGTTCATCATGAAATCCCAGGGTCCATCAAACAACGCTGGGGTTTTGAAGTTAGAACGAAATGGCGACGTCAGACTAAACCCTTCATATAGAAGTTGGAAGGTCGAATTACGTAATCGAAGAACCTACCTAGCAAGACAGCCTGATACCTGAGCATCTGAACGCGTGAATGTAAAAATATTTCAAGATTTTTGAAGTGACAAAATTTAACCCACCTTCCGTACGGTCAGCGGCTACTGTAGATCTATATATGAGTATCCTGGACAGTGCACTGGCCTTTAAGTTCTGCTGCACTAGTGTAATATATGTTTGTGGCCACGTAATTACACTTGGCATTGTGTTTAGTCTATATAGAGATTTCTATTGCACTCTATTGATCAGTAAGCAGCATGGATAAGCCTCTATTGTCCGCAATCCATGCAGATCGAGCTGAGCTGTAATATCAAAACGATACAATAGTGGGTCAAAGTTACAACAGGTAGAGGTTGAGGATGTTTGTAAGATGTCATGGGAACAGGGAAAAACCCGTTAGAGACTGGTTTTGCAGACAAACTTTATTTTCTTTAAGCTGGTTGAAGAAAATCTTGAGCTAAAGGATTGAACAAGGCGAAAGACGCGTGGACAGTAAATATTAAATATTGATCACTTAGGCCCTACAGTATGTTGACAGGGGGTTCGATATGTTAATACAAAGGATCTAACGTTGAACTGGAACTTTTAATAAAGAAGTAGAATTCCCAACGGCAAAGGTGTTTTCAGGCGTGGTCGACAATTTATTTTTGAAGACCAGTGTTGGAATAAAATTAATTGTTGCAAACGTGGTGCATACCAGTTCTTGTGTTTGTAAGGTTCATAAAAAGGTGTACAATCACCCTTGCATTTTTATTGTTGATACTGCAATAAAAAATCTCCTTAAAGCATAGGGGATGTTCACCTATATTTCTCAAGGTGAATTGGTAAAATGATTTCTGCTCTGGGTACTCACACGCTCATCGGGTGCACAAAACAAAACTTACGTCCAGGTTCTCCTTGAGGACTCCGGTTTGGAGAACACAACTGAGCTTGCCTGTCTTGTGGCGGACAATAGGGTCTGGAAATCTAGTTATGATGATGCTTAATTGAGTATGTTGATGGTCGACTGCGGTCGTAGACTAATTTTAGCATTCATGTTAAGAGTTATTTTGAGAAATGTTATTGATAAGTCCAGGTACTATCTCATGCGAAAAAAAAAGACCAGTTTCATGGTGTCCGAACAGTTATTTATGATGTAATTTTAATTAGTTAAAACAGCCATTTCTTTGAGTCCTTTGTGTGCTGTAAAATTCACCTATAATGTTTTCCGAAATATATCTTGCAAAACGGTGAATTTAGGTAAGTGAAAGTAATTTAAACCAGACACGGAATGTTTTAATAGGATAATGGAAATTTTATTGATTGTTGTGAAATGTAACCATCATAAAAAGAATTACTAAACTATGTTCTGCACAGCAGTGAAATATTTGCTTTGTATAACTCATTAACTGTAAATGTGTCATGATGTAGTTGCTCTATAAATAAATGTGTCAAGCATTCATATTTTATTTTCTGTTGTATTCTGTTAGTATGAAAAATGTGCACAGTTGAAATGTCATGTCTCTGCTAAGCCATCACCAGAGTACATTTGTGTTGGCTTTAGATATTGTCCAGGTTAATTTTGTACTTTACAATACTAATCTATTATGAACAAAATGTATGAACAAAAATATTTTTCCCAGGCAATATTTTACATGTTATAATGTAAAATGATGATTTCAAAGTTCGAAATATAAATTTAATGTGAGAATGCATGTTTTTGTGGGTAACTAAAGGTGAGATCTTCATAATACAATAAAGTAGGATAAGCAAAGTTTATGTCATTCAATTTGGCTTCAGCTGACCATGATGTCTAGTTAGAGAAGAAATGCACGGGTATCGTTTCATTTGATTCAATATTGCAGTGTAAAAACTCTCAAAATTTATGTAAAAGCATCCATAGAGTAGCTTGAGTGTAGATCTATAGCTCTGAGTGGAAACTCAGTCCAAGCATTAATAGAGATAGCACATCGTGAAAATGTAGCAGGGAGGGAGGGGTATTCTTCTGTCAGTCAACAAAAAAGCAGCCTTTTCATCTCCATGAGAGCAGCAGTTAGACACAC